TCAATATTTGAATGCAATTGGTGTCTGTTAGTTTTTTGACATGAGAAATTTGATTTTGATGTCATTATGACTCCTATTTGTAGAGGGCGTCACCTACATGTGTTTAAACTGTTTTGAAGAGTAATAACTTTTTGTCCGTACCTGTATAGAACTGCTGAGTGCAAAAATATACATTTTCGTATTTTTTTACGTAAAAAATGTCTCTTGGTAAAAATCGTTACGAGCAACCATTTTCGAGATATTTAGTATGGGAATAGTTAATACATGTCATCATTGACAAAAAATAAACATGTTGAGTAGATAGTTAATTGACTAAAAAGATAAATTTGGAAAATTTTTATTTTTTTTAATTAATCATAAAATTTTCTTCGAAAATATGATTATTGATGATGGTTTGGCACAAAAACATTTCAAATTTATGATTTCCATCTATCAACTATTTAGTCAACATGTTTAATTTATCTCAATGATGACAGGTATTGATAATTTCGATTTCAAATATCTCGAGAACTATTGCTCGTAGCGATTTTTATGAAGTGATCTTTTTTACATTAAAAACGTCGTAAATGTATATTTTTTTAATTAGTAGTTATATACAGGTACAGACGAAAAGTTATTCTCTTCAAACCAGTTAAAATATGTAGGTGGTGCCTCTACTGTAAAGAAATCATATTGACATCAAAATCCAGGCCCTAATATATCAAAAACTCCCGAACCAAATTTCATCAAATATTGATGTTACCTCGAAAGTATTGGAAAAAATCAATGAAAACACCCTGTATCTTCAACAAACACAGGTCATACATTTATACGGACTTGCCATCTGCAGAATCTGCTGTTGATGTTTCGGAACAGTTACCCTATGTGAATCTAGAACATAGACTGTTTGAATCTCGAACATAAGTTTAATATTTTGAATCTGGAATATCGTGTCCCCCTTTCTTGAGTTATAATTCATCATATAGTCTAACGGTTTTTACAAAAGCCAGTATCTGGGACGGTTTTATAGAGATTAGTGTTCCATTTGTGATATCAGTCCTACCAACGCTTATGGCACAAATGGTTGTCATCCCGGCGCCCTCAGTGATAAGGTGTTGCGATGTTTCCCCATTCTTTCCGCAGTATCTGCATTCTCCATTGTTTCTTAGCTTCAATCCACTGAGATGTTTATTGAGGTGACCGTGTCCTGTTAAAAATACCGAATCCGAAGATAGTTCTTACTTAAATCAAGGACAATCTTTGATTTTTCTTGGTCGGGTAAGTTTTGAAAAATTTCTTTGAGTGTTTTAAACCGTTGGAGGACTCCCATTCCAGGTTACGGATGGATTCTTTCAGGTTCTTCAGTTCCGCTTTAAGTAGGTTTTCAGTTGGGAAGAAGAACGGTTCTGATCCAGTTAGTGGGAGTGTTTGCTCGTTTCGTAGCTGGATCGTTTGCATTTTCAATGTCTTCAATCTCTTTGTGGGATCCAGAACTTAGCCCTGAGCTGGGATCTAGAACTTAGCTGAATCTTGAACATAAGTTCACATTTTAAATCCAGAACATAATTTTATATTAGAACATATATTTATATAGCTTATATTTTGAACTTAGGGCATATATAGAATTTTGAATATTATTTTTAACTGTGTGTTTTTGCTTTTGTCATTTGTCTGCTTTAATCAAATATTTTTATTGACTTTTTGTCTGGATATACTTAAATAAATTAGTTCAACTAAACAGCTGAACTTCACAGGTTGTCATAAAATAAGATGACCAAACCAAATGAAAAAAGCAAATTTCAAGGCTTTATGACAGATCATTTTTTCCCAATCACATGGTACTCCTATACATAGTAATATGGCGAATCAATTTCAATCTGAGCATCGGGAGCCTGTGCTTCTTAAGTGGATTAACAAAGGAGATATTCAGTTGCGAAGATTAATCGATCAAATCTTCGGTCCAATGAAAAACGGCACTTTAGGAAAATTTTCGGTAAAAAGGTGGGGCTGATTTTGTAATGCGGGTGATGGCATCTCTCCGCCAGTACGATGGCGTTTAACAGGGCAGGTCGTTAGGCTGATGAGTATTAATGGATTAATGCAGTATTGAACTGTCAACATTCGCCCCCATCCATATCCTATACAGCGACAGTCCAGACTCATCCATTTCGCATATCCTATCCATCGACACATTTCCAATTCTAATTATTGGAAAATCAGTCATTTCATGAAAATTGACCTCACAATTTTTATATTATTATTGGATTATTATTTAAAATAATAGCAGAGGTTCGTTATTGGTGTAATGAAATATATTTTCTACAAATTATATTCCCGAGCGATAAGGTGGATCGTAAAATTTACACTCTAGTTATTTTAAGACTTGTTATGTCCACTACTGAACAATATAATAGAGAGGAAGCGTGTAAGCCATTGATTATTAAATAATCCTTTCTTGCAACAAAAGGATGATTAACATAGTTGTACCGTTTTAATGCTCGTTTTCAGCTTTTAAAATTTGAATGTAAACTTTTAACGACTGTCATTAAACTTAGGCAATTTAATAAGCACACGTTACAACGCAAGAGTTTGCTTTAGAGTGGTTGAATTAGTTAGAAATATAGGAAAATGCAGTTGCAGTTTTGAGTAAATGAAAAATGTAATAAAGTAGCGACAGAGAAGAGAATTTCCGGTTTCATGCACATTTTCCAAAAAAGTGGTATGCTTTTAATAGAGGGATTATCATCGATAGATGAAAATCAGCGTGAACTGCGGAATTACAAACCATCAACAAAACAGGTAGCAATTATTGGATCGGGCGTTTTTCGAAAAAAAATATTTCAAAAATTCGACCAACATTTCATAATCAGGTATTAAAATTTGCATGGAAAAAAGCAAATTCACATATCTGGGAATGCATTTGGCAGTGGAAACCGTTGTGCGGGAGAGTTTATTAAATATTGCATAATTCTCGTTCGAATTGTGGCATGCTGGAAAGTTTACAATGAATTTTAATCGGTGTTCGAACAATTCTGGTTTATAAACTTGGAATGTTCCGCGAAACTATTAAATTCGACGCTGTATTAATTTTATCCAGCGAACCTTGTGGCCCGTGCAACATTTATTATCCTCGACCACGGAAAAGCTTTTTGGACCTTTTTGAGAACGACAAATATGCATCGCGCAAATATTTCGCAAAACTTTTTAATTAACCAATATACGCTGTTACGCCATTAATATCCTTTATACCTACTTTGCCTCTTTTTGGTTCGTTGTTTGCGTTCCCCTTATACAGAAAATATGTCAGTAAGTTAATAAAGTAAAAACCTTTTTCCATTGATTGTATTGCAGCAAAAAATGTCCTTATTTTTAAATTTTAAATCACCATTCATAGTAGATATTGATTTTTTAATTAGTTTAATTAATAATACATTTTTTTCGTTTTTTTTCTCTCTATGTTGTTTTATTGTTCACACATATTGTTCATTTTCATACACATAACATATACATATATTCCTATTTTTAAAGTTTCTCCGAGATTCATTTGACTAAAAATATTAAATAAAAAAAAGAATAAATAAGTTACGAATTTATTGAATCTAGAATATAAAGTCACTGTTAGTTATGAGCGTGACTGGTCTTAGTGTTGGTCTTGCAACAGCCAGACCGACCAGTGCAAGACTTCCACAAGACCAAGAAATACCATGCAAGATTATAAGAAAATTATAAACATTACTTATTTGTTCAAAACTATAGTTTTAATTTATTACAAATAGTATTTTTCCAATTACTGCATAACATTTTAAAGAAAAAAAATCTGATTTAATATACCTATTGAAAAATCAACATTTTCGTCAGACAATACGTCTAATAATTTCTTTCTTTAAAGTTGTATTTGCATTAATTTACTAAAAATACTATTTATTTAAAGATTTTCTATGTTGAAAGTGCATCTAGTAAAAATATATTAAAAAATACAATACTTGGAAGGCTTCTTGCAAGCAAGTCTTGCAGAAAGACCAAAACCAAGACTACTTAATATCTGCAAGACCAAGAGGGTATTGTTCTTGCTCTTGCATTCGTTTATTACTAGTCACTTACAAATCTAGAACATAAGTTCATAATTTTAATCTAGAACATAGGTTTCGTAGAATAAATATGGAACATAGGTTCATATTTTAAATCTGAAACTGGTTTTTATTAAAAAAATTTTAATCTAGAACAAAAGTTCACATAATACCTATATATTTGGAACCTATTTTTAATTTAAATTGTAAGTTTATATTTCACATCAATATTATATATCTAGAATGTAAGTTCATATTATTATTCTAGATCTTATGTTACTGTTTTGTACCAGGAAGCATAACTTGACATTATAAATATTGAACATATATTCATATTTTGAATCTAGAACTTAAGTTCAAATATTTTCTTGTTAATAAAATACAGGGTGGCGCCTCTCATACGCCGCGGAAGCTCCAAGGAGAACGGTAGTTTATATCGAAATGAATAATTGAATATTGAACAATGTTCAATATTAATTTTGTCTCACCCTGTATAACTTTTTGGATCAAGTTTTAATTTGATTTAAAGTAGAATAGTTAGTTTAACTACATATTAGGCTACACCGGGTAAATTCCAATTTAGGTAGCTTTTATTGTAATTTAAAAAATTAAAAAAAGTTCTTTATTTCTAGAAATTGTTAAATATGTCAAAAACCTTACATTTTAGTCATATACTTCTCTTATAAAACTCACCTTTATTTTTCTCCTAGAATCCGAAAATCAATTAATATATAGTGTGTTCCATTAGAAAAAACACAACTTTGATACGTAACTTTTTTTGGGGACACCCTGTAGAACTCTCTATATTTTTAAAAAGTGCCCTGAATTAACCTACATATGCTCACAAAATTTCATTTCAATACAAACTGTCGTTCTCCTTGGAGCATCCGCGGCGTATGAGAGGCGCCACCCTGTATATGCATTAAATCTATAAAATGTTTTTTTTCTTTTCAGCCTGTTCGATGCACAGTACCAACTTGCAAATGTGAAAATTTTGTTCCTGGAAAAGTCAGACTACGATATTGCGAGACCTGTAATCACGGCTGGGTAGTACATGGTGAGCACTATCTTTATAAATTCTATTTATTTTGTCCCTTCTTCAATAATAAATATTAATGATACCTGCAGGAAATATAAATATTATAAATCTTATACCGGAACATAAATATGCTTTATTTAGGGTAGTGATATTTTTCTAACCCTTGAGTTATCGATCATTGGTTAGAAAAAATATCATATTCCTTCTATCGGACACTGGGCATAAATATGAAATTTGCTATCCAGGTCACGTTGTGCCCATACTTCCATCTTTACTGTATTGCATGAATATTAGATTTTCCAGTTATATTTTAAAACGCCGTAAGTGAGAGATATTTGCGATATGTCAAACGGATACGGAGGATTTGAAAGTGACAAATATTTTTCATCAGCAACCCTTGCTTTAGTATTGCGAAATATTTCTGAACTATGATATAAATCTGAATATACACGAAGAACTATTTTTAATATATTAGGTATTCTGTAACAGTACTGCACATAGTAAATAAACTTTGGTCAATTTTTTTATTGAAATTATATATTTTCTGTTGGTGAGTATTTTCTGGGATATTTTTTTCAATAAAATTATTAGCTAGATTATTTGTAAATTATAAAATTCGCAACATTAACTTCAAATTGAAATACTGTTATTTATTTTCTACAGTTCTTATTATTTTTAATAACATAGTCAATAATTAATAGACAAAGTTTATATTTTGAATTTAAAACTTATATTCGCATTTTGAATGTAGAACTTATGTTCTCATGGTTCTGATGTTTAATCTAGAACACAAGTTTGTACTTAATTTTAGTAATTTGTTTTGAACCCAGAACTTAAGTTCATATACTGAATCTAGTATTTAGATTCTAGGTTAAAATTACTAACATAAACTCTAAATTCACAATACGAATTAGGCTTTAGATTCAAGATAGGAACTTAAGTTTTGTATTCAAAATATGAACATAATTTCATTATAACATAAGTTCTACTTAGTGATGAGCGAGACGCTAGTCATGGCCTTGGTCTTGCTTTTTGTGCAAGACCAAACCAAGGTCGACCAGTGCAAGACTAAAACCCAAGCATGCAAGACTCTTGCGGCATTTTTCTCACGGTTATATGATATAAAAAATTACTTATTTGTTCAAAATTTGTTTTAATTTATTACAAATAAAATGTTGGTCAGACAGATGTTTTATTTACATTAAATTACTAAAAATACTATTTATTTAAATATTTTCTATGTAGAAAAATTCAATGGACGTTTATTTGTATTAAAAGACCTGCAAGAATCTTGTAGCAAGATTAATACCAAGACTGGACACTGCAATATCAAGACTATTTATTAACTTTAAGATAAAACCAAGACCAAGAAAGTCTTGTTGTTGCTCATCACATCCAAAATTGAAACTAATGTTCCTATTTTGTATTGGAAACTTGTGTTTTTAACTTTTTTCTAAAACATTAAGTTCATTTTGAATGCAGAACTTGGGTTCCAGATTAAAATACGAACTAGGATCTCCATTTAATTTTGGAGATTCAAAATACGAACTTAAGCTTTAAATTCAAAATAGGAACATAAGTTCAAATTTTGAATATGAAACTATAAAACTTATGTTCTTAATTCGAATCGAGAACTTATATTTGTATGTTGTTTCTAGAACTTATTTTCACATTTTGAATCTAGAACATTAGTTTATTATTTTAAATTCAGAAAAAAATCGAATTTTTGAACTTTGGTACAAATATTGTTATACGAATAAAACTTGAATTGAATTAGTATATTTTTTTAATTATATATTTTATCGTACGTTAAATTTATTATATTGCTTACTTTATTATAGTAATTTCGAATTCGCAAGAACACATATTTTTAAATTCCGATTATCCCTGAAAATTTATGGGAGTCAATTAGAAGGTAGCGTCCTAAATCCGCACACGTTTTAGACTAATCCGGCGCAACGCGAATAATTGAAGCGAGGGGCGCGAGGCAGTATAATTGACCGGTATAAAATAAAAGAAAGAACGCGGGGTGTCACATCCGTGTCACTCTGCGGGCGATCTGCAAGAGGGACCGCCGTTACGCCGCCGGTCCCGGCTCGCACTGAAATTAAATTAAAATCTAATGTTGCGAGATGTAGCAGGAACGTTTATTAAATTATAACGTGCAACTATATAGCTATTAAGGGCCTTCTAGAGCCCGGACATATTAATATTTGTTCCGGCACCCTCGTCTCGTTTCTTCGGAAGTGTCACTGGCACGGTCAGGCAAAGGGGTTGGCTGAGGTGTACGGGGCGACACCAACGTTTTGACGTGCTCGCTAATCGGAACAGGGGTCGCATGATTGATATTCGGTTTGTTTTGTTTATACGCCGGCGACTAAGTGATATAAATAGTTCGATTAAACGCTCCTGTAGGCACTGATTTTGTTGTTTATCATGTTCCAGTCTGTTCGAATGTTCTTTATACAGGTTTTGACATTTCTTTTAATATATTATATTCTAACATTTTAACATGCATTTTTGGATAAATTCCCTATTAGTTATATATTTTATAATATCATTACCTTAATCTAATTTTGGTAATTTGATCTTAGGACATATGTAGATACTTTGAATTTAGAACATAAGTTCATATACTCTCGAACCTACTTCCATATTTTGATTCTTGAACCTAAGTTCATATTTTCAATTTAAACCTTAAGTTTATATTTTGAACATAAACATAAATTCATATTCTGTATCTACAATATAAATTCTAGAACTACATCATCAGTTCAAATTTTTAATATAAACCCTAAATTTTTATTTTATATTTTGAATAAAATAAGTTCTTATTCTGAGCTTAAAATAAAAAGTTCCAGCATAGAACATAAATTCATATTTTGAACCTAGAACAACAGTTAATATTTAGAATCTAGAACCTAAGTCTATATTTTTAAGTAAAGCGTAAGTTCCTGTTTTGAATCTGGAACATAAGTTTATAATTTGAACTGACGTTTATATTTGGTATCTAGAACCTAAATTCAGTTTTTAAATCTAGCATATTTTGAACCTAGAACATAAGTTTATAATTTGAAATTTGATAGAGTTTTGAATCTATGTTTATGTTTTGAATCTAGACCTTTAATATAATGTAGGGTAATAAAAATTTCTTTTTTATAAGAACAAAAAATGTTTAAAACTGTTGTTTTGATTTTAAAGTTTTTTTTGGAGAGAAAATAAAATAAAATATAACTTATACCGGGTGTCCCAGAAATAAGTGCAAGTATTTTAAGAGTTGTTAGATCTGGCCAAAAGAAACATTTTTTCTCTTCGCCGTTTTTCAAATAAGTCCAAAATAACCGAGTTATTTTACTTTGAAAATTTCCAAAAAAAAATTTTTTTCCTAAAATTTTTAGAACCACTGGATCTTTTCTGGATTTTCTTTCATGTAAATTTAAGCTACTACATAAATGTTGCCATATTATCAAGAAATTATGTTTTTAACTTAAAACTAGAAAAATTTCCAAAGTTTTTTCAAGAAGTTCCAGATTTTCAAAATTTTTTTTTGGGAAAAAGCCTATAGGCGTGTTTCTGAGACCGAAATATACTACTAGTTAAAATACTTGCACTTATTTCTGGGACCCCCTGTATACACACTAGAAAAATTAGAACATAAATTCATATTTTAAATTCAAAATATAAGTTACTATTTTGAATCTAGCACATACGTTTATAATATGAAATTAGATAGAGATTTGAATCTATGTTTATACTTTGAATCTAGAACTTAAATTGGTGGATATGTAGGAACAATTATACTTATTTATATTAAAAAATTATTCTGCATGAATTGATTAATAATTAAACATAACAATTGCTATTTTAAAAAAATAATAGCAATTGTGAATAATGTAAAGGTTTAAAATTTTCCTTTTTTTTAATTTTACACAACTTTTTTTAAGAGAAAATTTAAAATATAACTTGTATATACCCAAAAAAAAATTGTTAGGTGTTTTAAATCAGAGTAAATACAGTTTTGGTGAGAAAAATAATCAGTTTTCATTAGAGAAGGCTGCGTCTCGTTGGGTTTGCGAAAAGTTTTTCACAGATGACATATTGCCCTGACCGGACCGCCTAATCCATAACTCTATGACACTAACCTTATAATGTTTGGGGGAAAGAAACGGATGTCGCCTCTCTAAGTGACGTCATTCGTCAAGATACCATCTTAATAACTCTCCCAGATTTTGACAAAATTTATCATCCGAATATACGACCGTATATATATTATGTGATTGAGTACTTTCGGATATTAAAATTTATCATTAATTTTATACTAGAAAAGTAATTATATTTTATGTTATATATTCCGCAGTATATTATTACGGTTATTTAATTATTAATTAAAACTTTTATTTTATTATATGGAATATAAAGTACTTATAGTTTTTTTTCTTAAATAAAAAGTTAAAAGGCTTCATAAATGTTGTTTAAAGGTTGGCTGAACAAGATAAGGCGCATTTTTGAGGTAAAATGTGAATTTTTTATATTTAAAAAGCGCCACTATTTTTCAACGTTTTATAAAATTGCCGCCAGCTACAGACTGATGTTCCGCGTAGAATTTATCAAATATCAAATGCGCGCCACATTATTTAGTTTATAAAATGTGTAAACAAATCATTTTAGCATTATAAATCATAAAGGAAAACGAAATTATGCACATCCAGGGAAAAATGAGAATCCATCGCGCGAACCGTATTTTGTACCACGGTGTAGGGGATATAAAGATAAAATTAAACCAGTTTTATGCTTCGTTTAATAGTGTTTGGTTGGCAGTAAGACTTACAGTCAACTGTGAAAACACAAACAATTTATAAAAACTATGTGTCAATGAAAATAATCAAAAGTCAAAACGTTTCTCACCTAACCAATTTCGACTAACAAATTATAAACAGGGACCTATCCTAAAATAGGTTTCCTCGAAAATAAAATACCAAACTATCTCTCTGGCTTTCTGCTGACCTACTTCATTAAAA